CATTATAGAGGTAGTCCTTGATTTACAACCATTCATTTGGTGACCGTTCAAAGTTACAACAGTAGTGAAAAATGGACTTGTGATGACCGGTCCTCACACCTGTCACAGCAGCCCCATGGCCACATTATCAAAAGTACTTGACAACTGGCATATATTTACAATAGTTACAGTGTCCCAGCTGGCTTTTGATGAACAAGTCCATGGGGGAAATCAGATTCGCTTAACAACTATGTGATTTATTTAACATAAGGTCATAAAATGGGGCATGATTCACTTAACTACCTTGCTTAGCAACTTTAATTTTGGGCCCAATTGTTGTTGTAAGTTGAGGACTACCTGTAAACAGGATATAAATGAACAATCACATCATGTAAGTGCCAAAAGTAGAGTTGCTGGATTGGGAGAATCAATAGCACTGCAGTATTTTCCTCCAAGCTACTATCTTAGTAAAAAAAAAAATAGATACCAGTTTAACGTGTTGGCTTGGAAGGAAAAAGGTAAGTATATTATTAAATTAATAATTAAATATATATTTCTCTAAGTGACATGATTGCTCATGCCACTTAGAGAAATATATATGGTCAGTATCATATGGAGCTAGTCTCTAACAACTCAAAGGACCATTTACAAAATGTGTTTTGACAAACTAAGAAACATGAGACATGATCAATATAAAGTAACATTAAAGCCTCATTTTAATAATCAAATAGCCAGGATAAGGGATGAACACTATATTATTACTTTTTTCCTTCTTTTTCAATCTTTAGAACTTATGCTTGGAAGAAAAAATTACTATTGCAGGTTTCCGGATCTCTTTTAGCAAGCCAGTTCTTCTGACTAGCATCATTCATTCACCCATTATCATTCCCCCATCTTCAGTTGAAGGAGGTTAAAAAAAATTGTGACAGAAATATGACACCCATTAGAATATGCTGTGTCAAAAGCTGCCAACGGTAAAGATGTAGGACTTTCTAAAACTGTCAGGAAAAAGATGCTGAATGGAATTTGCCCCTGCTAATACAAATGCAAACAGAATAAAATTAAATACTCAGAATAACTGATGAGGAGTATGTGAGCGCGTGCAATACAGAGAGGCACACCTAGATAAACTGTCACAATATGTTGCACATCAGTGGTTTTCAAACTGTTTTCAAGGACAGTTTTCCTACATGTACGAAATTCATTCTCTACACCACTGCATCGAGTAACCAGTTCAGTGGAGCCCTTTCAACGATAACAGATTTATTTTAACTAAATCTCAAGAGAGAGGCATCAGAACAGTTTGGAACTTTCCATGCTTAATTTGTTAGGCTCTTTGATAAATTCACTCATATTTGCTGACAGTGGTATCAACATTAAGAGCGGCTTCTACTGAAGCATCCAAAAAGGCTTTCTGATCCAGTGGCGTGAGATTATCTCTAATAAATAAAGCTTCAGGAGTTAGACAGGATACTTAAGGGCTGTTGTTCTACTCCAGCACGCTTGGATGAAACCAATTTTTCTGAGTCTATTGCAATATAAAGTTGGCGCCACAACATCCTTGGTTGATGATTAGATAGCTTCTGTCAGAAAAGAGATGTTGGAATACAGCTGGTGGTGTTTAAGATTTGACACCATCAATCCTCTATTTTAGTAGCTAAAGAGAGCATCTGAAGAAGTTTACATTCCTATCTGTGGGTCATTTTCAATTTATAGCATTGGTGGATTTCAGGGCAAGTATAAATGCCTGGAGATTCCAGAGAACTTTTTCTCATGTTCCTCATTATCCATTCCAAACCCCAACGGAGAACGTTCACTTCCTGGAAAGCATCAAACCTAGTTCTGCTATGGTCTCAAAAAGAGAAAATACCCTCGAGAAATTAAAATGTCCTTCAAGTCAAGCTTGACTTCTAGAGCAGGGGAGTCAATCTCAAGGCCCGTGGGCTGCATACAGCCCGCAGGGTGCTTCGATCTGGTCCGCAGGGCTGCCCTGCAAACAGTGCAGGACCAGCCCGCAGTGCCTCTGCCAGTGAAGATGGAGCTCCTGAGCTCTATTTTCACTGGCAGAGGGTTGCAGGAAACTGTCACAGCCTAAAATGGAGCTTGGGAGCCCGTTTTTGCTGGCAAAGCACTCAGGCCTCCACAGGTGCCCCTGACACGAGTGATGTTGAGCTGGCCATGCCCCCTGCCCCCCCCAGCTCCCCAAGGTCAAATACAACCCTGATGCAACCCTCAATTAAATTGAGTTTGACACTTCTGGTCTAGAAGCTTTATGAATGGATCCTGCAGGCTTCTTGGCAGCAGGGTGGAGGTGGTTTGCCGCTGCTGCCTTCTGGAATTATTTTTTTGATGTTCAGAGCTAACCTACAGCCCTGGTACTATCTGCTTGCTTATCCAAACACTAATCAAAAATCCTGCTTAGCTTAGGTTCAAAACCCAGACAACATCAACCAGCCATTGCCATTTGCTGAGGCCAGGATGGCAATGATCACTTTTCCTTACCCTCCTCTAGAAATTAAGCTACTATTATGAGCCTGTTGTTACTTAAAGAAGTTTATTTATCTTTCTGTTTCACTAGAACCTACAACAGGCCTTGGAGCAACCCACACTTCCCACAAATTTATTTTAAAACCACTGTACCATGCAAACAAAATTCTGACAGAATGTTATGCCACTAGCATCCCAGACTAGAGAAGCTAAAGTGTTTTGTTTTGGGTTTTTTTGCAACATACCAAAATGCATATTTAATGGGCATTAGTGATATTTAGCAGTCTGATGGCAAACTATTGTAGAGCAGTCTTGGGGCTTTCAGTGGCTACTGGCATCGAAGGAGACTGTTTGGTTCAGCTTACCAGCAGATGTTGACAGATAGACAGGGTGGAAGGGCAATGCTTACAAGAGGAAAGGGAATGCAATGGGAACATTTTACATGTTTACAGACGCTTGAACTGAGAGCAGGGGAAATAAATAAATAAAGTTTACATCGAATAATTTATCCCCATGTTAAGAAGGGGAAAACACATCTCAGAGGAAACTGGTACTACCTCTTGCTTGACATAAAAGATGCAAACTACGGGAGCAGATATAAAAAGTCCTCACACCTCTGTTAAAATGCCAGGATTTTGAGATGTAAAAAAAAAAAGTCAGACTAAAATGAATCACTTCAGAATTCTTTTCCTCCTTTAATATAACATATAAGCAGTACAATTCAGTTGAAAAACAAACTGAATCTTTTAGTGGAAAAAATGAATGAAAAATTAGAATAATGTTACATTTCAAAAACATGGCATTTTAATAGGGGTGTATAGGCTTTTTATATCCCTTGTATATAGCTAAAAAGGGGAAAGCAAAAAAAAAAAAATGAAGGAGCTGCTGGTATTTCCAAAATATGTTTCAGAACTTATCCTCCTGATCAACGACTGAGCTGATCTAAAACGGCTAAATGAGGTTTTACAATGCCAGTCATTCCTCGTAAAATATGATAGATTATGTATCTCTTACATTGTAACTCTAAGAGCACCACCACCATAAATATTTTAAAAATACAACTCAAATTGTCCTCATGTATTGATCACCTTGTTTAGCAACTGTTTGTAGTTACAACCATGATGAAGTAACCAGTTGTCCCATTTTTAACCTTTACAGGTCTGTATAGAAAACTGAAGTAAGATCATAACTAGAGTCACACTTTCACTTAGAGACTGATTTGCTTAATGACTGAGTCGTTGGTCCCAGCTGTAGTCACTAAATAAGGACTATCATAGTTGTTCACACACACAGTCTTCCCAACTGTGCTTTCCAATTTGCAGAAAACACTGCAAATCCATCAGCGGCAAACTGTAGCACCAATGGTTCCAATTTTAAAAAGCCATTGACTAGAAGGAGAGTGCAAGAGCAGGAAAAACAGCTTTACTTCTTATAGAAATCTCACTCCTTTCACCCCAGAAGGCAATCCTGCCATCCATGGAGGGATTGTGACCTTCTCTATGTAATTAAATTAAATTGAATTTTTACAGCCCCAATGCCAGATACAAACAAAATATTGAATAAAAGTAGTATGACAGATAGACAGACGAGAGAATGTGTGTGTGTAAAAGAAAAACAATACATATAACTGAGTCTAAAAATAATGAAGAATATATAGTAGTTATTAAAATAAATCCAAATAAAATGCTCTTATGAGAACTTCCAATCCTAAGTAATGGTACTGCATATTGTACAAATGGTAGCCGAGAATTGGGAGACTTTAAGATTATTTTCTAGTCCTTGTCTGACAGTAGCACCATTAAATAGAAATCGCTCTCTCTACCTGGGAATTTCTTCAGGACAAAGTATGCAAAAGGGTCTGTCTAGAGTCCTTGTATTAGGTGCAGTGTAATAGAATCTGTCCTATAGTTTCTATTGAACTCTTCTTGCCTTCAGATGGTTTAAGTGCTTTAGCACTGGAGGTTTTAAAGAAAAAACTGGAGAGCCACCTCTCTGAAATGGTACAGGGTTGGACTACAAGACCTCCAAGGTCCCTTCCAGCGCTATTCTGACTTAACCTATATAATTTAAACTCCCTTTTCCTTTCTAAATGGGTCGGAACCTAGCTAAAAAAATGGAGCTCCTTCAGCTTCAAATGACTGATTCTTCAGAGGGAATTCAAATCACCCCACCATACAAAGAATCACATGCCAATTAGAGAGAGGAACGGGGAGCACGTTTGGGATTTAAAAAGAAAATAATTAGATTTGTAAGTGCAAAACTGGATGCAACTGCGGATGTGGCTCTTGTGAGGAGGTTTCCCTAACTGGCTAACTCGACCTCCCCAATATCCCCACATCCCGGGTTGCAGATGGGGCAGGAATATCACCAGCCACGATATCTGGGGTGGTGAACCTTGTTTTAGGGGAGCCCCTGGCTCTTTTTTCCTCGAGACAAAAAAAAGCAAGAGGTTTTTGCACGTCACACGATGAGGATCCAGATAAAGGCGGCGACGAAGAAATCGCCCCAGGGGCCACCAAGGGCAAAGCAATCACCTGACACTTCCAGCACTTCGCATTCTTCCCGCCCACAGTAAATAGCAGCAATGGCAGACAGCTCCTCCAACGCTAACGCCGACATGGCGGCAAGGCGACTTCTCGCTGTCGCCCCACGCCGGTCGCCTGGGCAAAGGCAGCGCTTCCACTTCCGCCCGCGGGAAAAGACAGAGCCGAGGGAAATAAACCATATTCCCCACCAGGGGGCGCTGTGCTTGCTTTCAGGGCTCGGCCTCCCGAACGGGAAGAGGATGTTTCAAATGTCTTGTAGCTGTAGATCGAGTCCCACGTGGCAAAACAACCGCAGATTGCAACTGGATCACGTTAATCCCCACTGAGGAGTTCCCCAGAGAAGAGATGAGACGAATTATGAATTCTACGTTTTGCAGAAGTCTACGGATCCTAAAGCAACAGAAAGCAACAGAGTGGTCAATGTCTGCAATACTCTACCTGACTCTGTGGTTTCTTCCCCAAACCCCAAAAACTTTAACCTTAGACTGTCTACTATTGACCTCACCCCTTTCCTAAGAGGCCTGTAGGGGGCGTGCATAAGCGCACCAATGTGCCTACCATCCCTGTCTTATTGTTTCTTTTATTTTTCTTATATGTAGCCATGTATTCATAACTATGTTTTTACTTATACCTATTATCTTGTAAGCAATTGACAAACCAAATAAAATTTAAAAATGAATAAGTTTTGTCTAGTGGCACCAGGCTAGAGAGCGGGAGACTGGTGATTTCAAGTTCTGCCTTAGCCATGAAAGTGGGCTGGGTGATTTTGGGCCAGCCACCCTCTTCTCAACCCAACCCAGCTCACAGAGTTGTTATTGTTGTTGTGGTAGGGAAAATAGGAAGAGAAAGGAGTATTGTGTGTGTTTTCCACCTTACGTTATTTGTAAACATAATAAAGGCAAGGTATAAATGAATGAATAAATAAATTAAAAAGTTGCAAAGTTTGAGAAACACTGCTTTAGTGCATCGGTGACTTACGACCATTTTTCATCGCATGATCAAAATTCAGACACTTAGCCACTGATTCACATTTATGACCATTTTTGTGCCCCCAAAGGTCATGTGATTCCTTTTTGAGACCTTCGAACAAGCGAAGTCAATGGGGAAACCAGATTCACTAAACAACTGTGTTACTAACTTAACAACTGCAGTGATTTCCCTTAACAACTGTGGCAAGAAAGGTCTGTTGGAAGCAATATCCTTCTGGGTTCAGTTCCAAGTGGGGAAAAAGACACTGGAAACATGGAGGCCGTTTGGGAAGATGGTTTAATAGTGGACAGGACCACATGCTCTTGGGCAAAAAGGGAAGAGATACTGAGAATCCCCTCGTTTCATACCCTCTGTTGGGCCTCACCTTTGTGTCTCCTGTTCCTGTGTAAGAAATGTATCCCATTGGCTGTCACACTCCCAGGGGCAGGGATTTTAGCTAACTTTATCTGGACTACATGGCTTCACCTGAGTGCTGGCTAATACAATCTTCCCAGATGCCATGTGGTGAAATGGGTAATCCTATCATTTCCTGAGGACCTGGTCTTAATCTCATCACCCTGGAACTGAAGGGGCTGCAGGGAGCTGTTTGGCTTTAAAACATGTTTCTCCTTTTCTCATCCAGGGAAATATAATATTCTCCCTTTTTAATATTTACTAGAATATTTCTTCTAGGAGAGGGGTGGTACTAACTTTCTACAGGTCATAAAAGGGAAAAACTCATTTAACAAATTTCTCAGTGAACCACAAAAAAATTGGCCTCAGTTGTAGTCATACCTGTATTCTTTATTTTAGCATCTCCTAATGAGGTTCTTGAGAGGTGTTGGACTACATAATATTTCAAACATCCAATGCAGCTGGATTATGGCTATTGTAATCCTACCCATCTTTGGGGGAGGGGAGGCTGGAACGATGCTTTAGAATAATAGGATTAGTACATGAGATATGTTCAGATTTCATCTATGCAAAGTAGATGATCTTTCTTTAAAACCTGGCTTTCCCTGGACCACATCTACCTCACAGGGCTGTTGCTGAAAACTATCCTCATTCTGTTGGATGAAGAGGAAAAGAAGCAGGCTAGAATCTTAAACTACCTATTGTTGGGAGGACAGGGGAAATTAAAAGGATAATGTTCATGAAGTGTTGCTAATGCATCAAGCAAATTGAAGGCTGTTTGGAAAGTGAAACAATATTCGCTAGTTGAGCAAGGAGACAGCAAGGAGCCTGGGCGTGGCTTAGCTCAACTGGTCTGTACTAAAGCCAGTTGCTGCTATGAAACTAAAACTGAAACTCCTCTCCTCTGCTTGTGTTTTGCATTTGGAACAGATTTCTTTTCGGGGGGGGGGGGTAGAACTCCTTAGCATCAGGGCGTGTTAATAATAATATATGAAATACTAATGCTCTGGTGGTCATTCTGAAAAATCTTTTCTTAGCATCTAGAAGCCAAGAAGAACATACATGCCAAATTTCAAATTTATAGGCTTTACACTTCTGGAAATTTTGTGATGATGCGTGACTGGTATTTTGCTTTGATAGATAGATAGATAGATAGATAGATAGATAGATAGATAGATAGAT